CTTCCTTCTGTAAATAAAGTTCTCTGCAAAGAGCAGTCACCAGTCTTGGAACCAGAGACGGCTGAGCCCTACAATCTTGAGCAAGCCAATCTACACTCTGAAGCTTTCGGTTTCTTTATTCATAAGAAAGCATAATAATGCCTGCCCTACTGTTATTAAGGAACCTAATTAGCATTTATTTAATGTTCTGAAATTTACAAAATGCAACAAAATATGATTTATCGTGTTCATTAAATTATTTTCATTTTCCTCAGAGAAGGACCTAGTGATGGCTTCACAAAGTAGTGAGAATCCTTGACACATAAATTGGCTGTGTTCAGACAGACACACTACCATCTCTAAAATTGCCAGTGTTAAGTCTCAATCTTCTGCATAATTTCCAAAGTGAAGGGAAACTCATACTGGAGACACCACAGTCTTTCAAAAGAGAACATTTAGGATGCAAATTATTTCAAAACAATACTGCACCAGAGCTGGACATGGTGGTACACACCTATAATCTCAACACTCAAGAGACTGAGGAAGGAGGATTGCCACAAGTTTGAGACCAGCCTGGGCTACATAGTGAGTTCAAGGCCAGCCTGGACTATAAAGTGAGACCCTCTCTCAAAAAATGAAAAAAAAAGAAAAAGAACAAGAACAAAATACATATGTAAAAGTTTTTAGGTCATCAGTGGTGGCACACACCTGTAATCTCAGCACTCGGGAGAATGAGGCAGGAGAATCACTGCAAGTTTAAGGCCAGCCTAAGATACAGAGTGAGTTCAAGGCCACCCTGAACTACAGAGTCAGACCTTGTCTCAAAACACCAAAAAAAAAAAGTTTTCAGTAAGTGACATAAAATATACCACTTGACTGAAAAAAGGAATTTAGAGAGATTCCAAAATTAAATCAAAATTATCAACCAGCAGACTAAAACTTAAATCTTAAATTAGTTGAAGCTATATTTTAATCAAAGTTTTTAAGGTATGAGACTTCCAGGAAGATGGCAGAGTGGTGAGCACCACAGAAAGAACCTCTCTGGGATTTGGTGTCCTGACACTGGAATATAGTGACATGAGGAAGGGAAGGAGGGAAGTGGATCCCCAGCACCCAGGAAGGATCAAGCAAGAATTGAAGTCCATGGGGAGAGCCGAGAGAAAGACTTCAATGAAAAAGAAGGAGGTGGCAGGAAGCACTTTGTTCCAGAGATTGGACTCACAGCATGGAAAGGGTGAGTTGAACCTCCATACACATGGTGAATCCTGGCAACAGAAGCCTCCACGGAAAAAGGCACCAGTGGAACAGAGCAGTGGCTGGTGAGTTATTTGGGTTCAGACATCACCCAGGAGAGGGAAATTGGCCTGTACCAATTTTGAAGAGGTGCCAACTGAGCTTGGAATTCAGAACAGGTATAGGCCAGCTCCATCTAGTGGCTCCCAGTATTTTGGTGAGGGTGCTGAGTTCAAGTTGGCAGAAGGCACACAGATTGTGGCAGACTCAACAAATTCGGTCCCATCCTCTTTGCCAAAAACCAGCCTGAACTTTAGTGGACCTAAAAGTTCGGCCTTACTGGGATTATCTACTACCCCACCATAAATCAACAGCTGGCTTGCTAGGATTAAACAACTCAGATCTGGGCTCTGTCTGCCAGAGTTGTCTACCAGTGACAGCAGAGATAGACCTTGAATTGGACTATTTTTCTTTTCTTTTTCTTTCTTTTTTTTCCTTATTTTTTTTTCTTTTCCTCTTTTCTGGTTTTTGTCCTTGTTCTGTTTTATTTTTTGATTGTTCTTGTTTTTACATGAGTATGAACACGGTTTCTAGTTTTTTTTAATGTAGTTGTTCTTTTCTGTTCTTGTTTTTATTTCTTTCTTCTCTCTTTCCCTCCTGTCTTCTTTACCAGTTTCCCAAAGTTTGTAGATCTTCCTTTATCCTCCAGCTTTGCTTCTAAACTCTTCTATTTCTCTACTTTTTCTCCCCTAACTCCTTCTAAATCTTCTCCCTTTACGGTAAAATCACCATATTGAGGGCTTATTTATTGCATTCAATTTTCTGGTTCATTCTAGATTTTGTTATATAATGACAAATCTAGTTCAGATGGTTAAAGGTGGAAAATTAATAGTTAGCACAGTTTGTCATTTTCTAGGCTATGTTTAATGCTACTGTTATTGCTGATTGTATTACTTTAGCCAAGGTGACATAATTGTCCTAATCAGTTGTTCTCTCTGGTATACTATGACTGAGATTGCCCAAGGGTCTTAAAAAATACTATAGGCCGGTGCCAAGGAACCAGGCACTGGGCCAAGTAGGCAGAAACTTCTGATCCCCAATAAATTGAAGAGGTAAGATCTTGCAACAGACTCAAAACCTCAAACCCTGCTACACCAGGAAGACACCTCTCAGAAGCAGTCATTTCCTCGGTGTTTTGAATACTGGCAATAAAGCTACTCGCCATAAGCAATCTACAAGCATCAATCCAGGAATTAAACTTAAAAAAAAAAATAGAAAATGAGAAGACACTTAAACAAGATGCTACCCCTCACCACTACCCAGATTTTCAGCTCACCAAAACCAAACCCAGGGGACAATGAGATGGAATAATCTGAAAACCATCCACCTGGACTCTCTGAAATGGTAACGGTGTAGGTTACAAATCAAGTGAAAGAGGCTGTAGAAAAATTCAAAGCAGAGATAATTTCTCAAGTAACTACAGAGATGGTAACCATAATGAAAGTCATCCTTAGTGACTCTAAAGCAGATACAGATAAAAAAAAAAAAATAGAGGAACTCAGGAAAATGATGGAAACCATGAATGCCCAGCATAGGAAAGAAATGGAACCCATTAAACAGGTTCAAACAGATATCCAAGAAATTAAAAACTCCACTGGACGTATACAGAGCAAAATGAGCCAATGTGAAGACAGAATATCAGATATAGAAGGCAGGATTGCAGTTAGTGATCATGAAAAGAAAGATTTCTTGAAAATAGCAAGAGACCATGAGAAATCAATTCAGCAGCTGCTAGATGATGCAAAGAAGACTAACATAAGACTGACTGGAGGCAATGAAAAAGTAAGAGATTGCACAAATGACATAAAAGTCCTGTTCACAGAAGTAATGGCAGAAAACTTCCCAAACGGAAAAAGAATTTGACATACAGTTAAGTGAGGCATATAAAACTCCAATTAGCCATGATCAAAAAAAAAACTTGCCTGAGGCATATAATAGTCAAGATTCCAGAAATTCAACACAAGAACAGATATTAAAAGCTGTTAGAGAAAAGAAACAAATAACCTATAAAAGAAAGCTTATCAGAATCACAACAGACTTCTCAACGCAAACCCTCAAGTCAAGGAGAGCTTGGGGTGAAGTATTTCAAGCCCTAAGGGAAAACAGCCTCCAACCCAGATTGATGTACCCCTCAAAACGATCTTTTAAAATTGATAGAGAAATTAGATACTTCCATGACAAAGAACACCTGAGGAAATTCATCACACCAAACCAGCACTCTAAAGTGCTCTGAAGGATATTCTAGAAAGAGATAACAAAGATTACAACTCCATGAACCTCAACAGAATGAATATGCCAGGCAAGCCAAGAAATTAAACAGAGGAGAAAACAAGGGAGCCAACAACAAGAAAATAACATGACAGGGATAAGTCAATACATATCAGTTATAACCATCACTGCTAATGGTCTCAATTAACCAATCAAAAGAAATCAACTGGCAGACTGAATCAAGAAGCAAGCTCCAACAATATGCTGCATACAAGAAACACATTTAATTCAAAAAGAAATTCATAAACTGAAAGTTAAAGAATGGAAAACAATATTCCATGTGACAGGAACCTGAAAAAAAGCAGGGGGTAGCTAGTCTATTTGCAGACAAAGTGGACTTCAAGCCAAAATTGACTAAGAGAGACAAAGAAGGTCACTACATCTTTGTAAAGGGAACATTCCAAGAGGAAGCGATAACAACCATAAGTATATATGTACCAAATAGCAGTGCACCCAACTATATAAAACAAATATTAACAGACATGAAAAATCAAATAAGCACTACTACACTTGTAGTGGGGGACCTCAAATATCCCACTGTCACAAACAGACAGATCAGCTAGACACAAAAATCAATGAATAAATATTAGAATTAAACCAAACTTTTGAATAAATGGACTTAGTAGATGTCTATAGAGTGTTTCACCTCACAACAGTAGAATACACATTCTTCTCAGCTGTGCATGGGACATTCTCCAAAATACACCACATAAAATCATAGAACATGATTAAGTAAATGTAAAAGAACTGAAATTATCCCATGCATATTATCAGACCATAGTGCAATGAAATTGGAAATCAATGGCAAAAGAAACCATAAGAACTTCATAAATTCATGGAAATTAAAGTTTCTAAGGTACATAAAATCTGTTCGCCAGTAAGTGGAATACTGGATAACTTTGAAGTTTGAAACATAAATTTAAGAGGAAAAAAAAGAAGTATCTATATACAATACATAGTAAACTTATGAAACACAGTAGTATAATAAAAGGAATGTCAGGAAATTATATATATATATATATACAAATATGATAAGAACACAAATGGTAGACCTTTGACATAAATTGGGTGTTTCCAAGATTAAAGACAGAATTAGATGGACTATATGACTGACATAATAGCTAATTCCAACTTTCTTGTATTCTACATATTCTACCACAGCAGTGTAATAAAGTTGAAAACTGACCAAACTGGATTTTGTACTCCATATATCTTCTGGGACACTGTTAATGCTAAAAGTTCAAAAAATACAACTTCATGTATTAAAACAGAACAAACTTACAACATCCTGTTAAAAATAGACTCCTAGCAGAACATCACCCCTTATCCACAAAAGAATCTGCCAAGTGATTTCAACAACAAGAAGCATATTGTAGACGTTTCAGCAAATCTAACAAATTGATTAAAACACCAAGAGACAAGGGAAAAAGCAAACATGGGCAAAAGGGAGGCGGACTCACGGCAGTCTCTCTCATCAGTCCCGTCAGGGCAGTCCTGCACGTGGTCACACCTGTACGCTCTGGGGATACAGTGGCCATCAGAACACGTCAGCTGATCACTCGAGCACGTTGTCCCAGCTGTGAAAAGGAAGACATTAGTTTATTTCCAGTCGCTTCCTAACACAGACTAATCTACTGATCAATACCCAATATGAATGAGGATATGGAAAGCTAGAGCAGAGGGAATATGAAACATAAAGTCCATAGGGACGAGAGGTGGAAGACACAGCACCACCAGGCTGAGCTACAGTGCAAAAGCAAAGGTGGCTTATTATCAAAATGCCCACAGAAAACTATGGACACACAAGCTCGCCAGTGTGGACAATGACATTATCAGATGTGCTGAGAATATAATATACATTGAAAAAATATATGGTAAGAAGTAATGAAATAAAATATAGGTATTAACCAAAGACTGGTGAGTACCCCTCACCCCATTGAAATCGCTGTTTAAATAGGAAATATGCCAGAGTTAAACGATGGGAGTATGATTTTATTTTTTTCTTTATAGTTTTTTCTATTCTATAAACTGTCTACATTGACTATGTGTCAATTTTATAAATAGAAAAAAATTCTTCAGCTAGCTTGATTTTATCCCACATTGATGAGTCTAGTGAAAGCAGAGGGTAATCTGAAAAGTTTATCAAATTAGCCTCTGCACAAAAAGATAAATTCTAATGAATCACTGGCTCAGGTATGCTGAGAGACTTGGTAACACTATCTTATCATGTAATTTTTTTTAATTGTCCCCATAAGAAAGAAAAGTATTTGGGGAACATGATCTCCTAAAAATTACATATATAATCCTCTAATGGAAGAAAAATGTTTTCCCTGACTTTTTACAGAGCTTCCTACTCTTCTAAACAACAAAGATATTCTTCTAAACAATTAGAACTTGGCTGGGGAGGGTGAAATAGGTATCTGTTCAGAGATGTGTCATCAAAATTTAATAAGAAAAACCTTCCTGAAGGACAAAACAGAAAAATGACAGCTTTAGAGTGTGTACTTGACAATTCAAGCATAAAAGATTACCAGGTGACACAATAAAACATGTATTTTTTAAAAACTTTTCATGCCTAATTATATCATTCTTATTCTGTTCCATTATGAATGTTTCTCATCAGCAAACAAGTTTTTTCCAATTGTCCTATTTCTGACATTTTATAGTACGATTTCATGTTTTCTCCTAGCACTATATACCTGTAGATTAAACCTTACTTCTATTATTAAGAACAAAACAGATTCTTGTAGAAAGCACTTAAACACTTGAATCCTTCCCATAGCAGAGACACGGGTACATCTGAATAAGTTTAAAAAGAATGAATTTCCTTATCATTTATTTAAGTATGTACTGTCAATTTCAATATAAAATTAAAGAAACTTCAGCCAGGCACAGTGGCACATACCTGTAATCCCAGCGCTCTGGGAGGCTGAGGTAGGTTGGCTATGAGTTCGAGGCCAGCCTGGACTACATAGCAAGAAGGTTTCAAAAAAACAAAAAAGTGCCAAAAATGCCCAAGTGTGGCAGTGGCTTTGAACTCCCAGTGATCCACCTGCCTCAAACTCCCAGGTGCTGAGACTACAGGCATGCACCATCACAACCCACTAGAAATCTATTTTTATACAATGAAATACTTTCATTATGAAATGTGTTTCATGAACTTCCAGACTATGAAGTAAAAGAGCTTCAAGATGACTATTTCTGATATTTTAAGACAGATTTTGTTGCATATCCTTCTAGTACCTCAGTGTGGGTTAAATTTTATTTCTACTGATAAAAATAAAGTATATAAAAATATAGAAGGAAAATATAGAAGATATAGCAAATATAAAAGGAAAAGTCAGTAACGGGGACTCATTTCAGTTGAGACACCTTGTATTTGAGGCAACTTGGAGACATCCAACGAGCAGCGGCACATGCAAGACAGAAACTCTGGTCCTGGGCACAGAACTGAGTCCCCTCAGCCCACAGAGGGTGAGAAAATCATGACAATGCAGGTTATCCCGGCAGAGGATCAGGGAGTGCAGGAGTGGCTAAGCTCCACTCACTGCTCGAATTTCCTGCCTTGATGCCTCTCATGCGGTGGCAAATGTAGTAGAAGCCCCACTTCTGCTCAATACTGGGCAGAGGGGTAAATGCAGGGTGAGCCACAGGTGCAGAAGGACCTGTCCAGGGCCAGCCACACACAGGAACACCCTACCTACACGGTTTTTTCGTTTGTTTTTTGGGGTTTGGGGGGGGTGGTTTGGGGGCATATCGAAGATCGAACTTAGGACCTTCCGCTTGCGAGACAGGCAGCAGAACCACTGAGCTAAACCCCCAGCCCTCCTACCTACACATATCAGTAAAGTTTCTTTCTTGAGCACAACATACAAATGAAAGACTGGAAACCTGTCCCACACCACGAAAATGCTTACAAACCTTTAGTACATGCACACTTTCAATGAGATTGACCTCTGAGTGAGACTTGGCACAGATTCCACAGGCACTTAAGGCTCAGCTCAGTATTTATAAAACATCATCCCATTGGGATAATCTATCTGTGAGGGGCAGGATTTCAAGCTTCCAAAGAACCAAAAAAAGATTCCTCTCTAAATACTTACGACAATTCTGTTCATCGGAACCATCGTTGCAGTCCTGCTCATGGTCACACACCCAAGAGGGAGGAATGCATTCCCCACCATGACACCGGAAAAGGCCTGCCGCACATGATCGATGAGCTAAAACAAACCAAAAAAAGAATTAATTGTGGCAAACATCTGCCCCTATTATGCCAGCAAGTAATGCTCACTTCAAAAGAATATATGTCAGCAGGCATGGTGGTGCATGCCTGTGATCCCAACACTCGAGAGCCTGAGGCAGGGGGATTGCCACAAGTTCAAGGCCAGGTTGGGTGAGCTACATAGTCTCAAAAAACCAAAACCAAAATCAAAAAATGAACATACATCGAGTCCTGCTCAATACAAATGAAGGCAAGTAAGTAGTCATCAATTCATACTACAGTCTATAGTCTTACTCAATGTTCACTCTCAAATAATCTTAGCAATAATATCAAAATAAACTGATTACCCAAGCCAATAAACACAGAAAGGTAAACAACCCAACACACATAAGCACAAATGTATAACAAAATTATTAAATTAAACTTTCAATTTAAGTAAAAATTACCCATGAGTTTTTGTTAAATTATTTGAAATGTCTCATAGAAAAGCGTCATGATGAACTGGAAAATCCATAAGATTTGGAAAAGAAGACTCAGAATTAAATAATTATTATTTCCACAATTTACTTGTTTTAACCGTCTTTGGCAAGTTCTGACCCTGAGTGTACCCACAATGGGGTCTACATTTATGGTTTGTTGTTAAAAATAAGTTAAATAGTATGTATGAAAGTGTCATGTACTGCTAGTTGCTATCACTATTGTTACTAGTATTACTGGTATTAGTATTATTCAAATGTAATCGCAATCTCTGAAGAGTTGGTGATATAACCATTCATTTATTCCTTTATCCCAGAATACAACATTATTGCCATTCTGTTCCTACTGTTCAACAAAAACGAACCTAATAAACTGAGAAGAGGCCAACCGCTCACAGATGATCTCATCTCCACGCATTCAGCTGCACTTATTCTAAGAGTGCACCTTGGTCAGAAGCGTGACCACCCGGTGCAAACCTGTACACATACAGACTGTCAGGTCCCACTGTGCACACAGAACCAAAACCCCCATCTCTGCAATCTCCCCTGCAACCCACTGGAGTGTGAATGTTTGAGAAGTGCTGAACAGGACCTGTTCCTTGGCCTTTCTGCTATTTTCAAATACATCATCATCCAAAGAGGATCCCAAAGTCTGACTGCTCCAGGGCACCAGAGGATGACCAACAGTTCCAAACAAAACTAATTTTTTTCACCTGCTTTCCTGGTTTTTGGATGGCAACCCCTGCCTGAATGAAGCACACTGAGGCGTAGGCTTGATCATCTAGGGCACATTCGGAAGAACGAAAGACTAGAGGCAGGGGGCTGGGGTCTGCGGAGGGTGCTCCCTACCTGGGAGATCTGTATCAAATGACTTAACTGCTGAAAGCCTCAGTTTCCTAACTTAAAACCTTCCTCAGAATATTGCTGGGAGAACTATACAAAGAAATATATGTGAAAGTGACTTTATCATTAGCTAAAGTTTAGATGTACTATATTATTATGTTTTCAAACTAGAATTTTTTAAAAAAACACAAAACCACACTAGCCTCTGTTGTGATTTCTGCAATTCACAAGTCACACTACAGAGTTCATATTAAAGGAGACTCCTTCTTAAATCACAAATCCCAATATAGCTCTATTTTCTGTTCTTGATTCACAAAATCCCCAGAATGAAATAATCAGAAAGTCATTCATAGGCTTCAGAATGAACTGACTGCAAATTCATTTCCATATCACGGGCATGGTAAGATAGGAACATATGTAAATTGAACCCTCCCTCTAAAGCTATTAGTAATGCCACTGGTTCTCCATATTCACCCACACAGATCAAGACTTGAGCCCAGCCCTGGATCTATCACTAAAAGCACAGCCTTAGAGCTGTCTTAGAGCTGACATTACAAGGCATTTGTGTCAGTCAAAGCAGAGCTCAAGCCCGTCCTCCCCACTTACGGCAGCCAGCTTCGTCTGAGTCATCCAAACAGTCATTGGTCCCATCACACCGCCAGCTTCTAGGGATACAATACCCATTTCCACATTGAAAACGGTCACCATCGCATCCTGTAATACCCATGAAACACAAGAAGAGTTTTTAAGTTTCAGATACTTCATTAAAGAAATTAAAAATTTTGATAGAAATTTAAAAATTCAAATGATCAGTAATCAAATACAATTTTATAAAAAAGGGAAACATTTTTATTATAATAATATAAAAATACCTGTTTGGAATTCTGCAGGAAAAAGGTCATTTTTACATATAGTTGACTAGACC